CCTCCATCCTTCACCCTCCATCCTCCATCCTCCACTCTCCACTCTCCACAGCTGCTCCTCACCTCCACCCTCCACCCTCCAACCTCTACCCTTCATCCTCCACAGCTGCTCCTCACCTCCATCCTTCACCCTCCATCCTCCATCCTCCACCCTCCACTCTCCACAGCTGCTCCTCACCTCCATCCTTCACCCTTCTTCCTCCACGGCTGCTCCTCACCTCCACCCTGCACCCCTTGTGACCCCCCCAGGTGAATACTGGATCGACCCCAACCAAGGCTGCAACCTGGACGCCATCAAGGTCTACTGTAACATGGAGACGGGCGAGACGTGCGTCTACCCAACTCAGGCCAACGTTCCCCAGAAGAACTGGTACCTCAGCAAGAACACCAAGGAGAAGAAGCACATCTGGTTCGGCGAGACGATGAGCGACGGCTTCCAGGTGAGCAAGGAGGATGAGGAAGAGGAGGGGGGGAAGCCAACCAGGGTGGACAACCAGGTCTACGGTGCCTAACTCCTCTTCTCCTGCAGTTTGAGTATGGTGGTGAGGGCTCCAACCCGGCCGACGTCGCCATCCAGCTGACCTTCCTCCGCCTGATGTCCACCGAGGCCTCTCAGAACATCACCTACCACTGCAAGAACAGCGTCGCCTACATGGACCAGGACACGGGCAACCTGAAGAAGGCCCTTCTCCTCCAAGGAGCCAACGAGATCGAGATCAGGGCTGAAGGCAACAGCCGCTTCACCTACGGCGTCACCGAGGACGGCTGCACGGTGAGGGCTCCAGGGCTGGGTTTGGGGGTGTTTTTTTTGGGTTGGTGGGGATGTGGTGAGGGACCCGGGACTCATCCTGACCTCCCTGCAGAGTCACACGGGTGCTTGGGGCAAGACAGTCATCGAGTACAAGACGACGAAGACCTCTCGCCTGCCCATCATCGATTTGGCTCCCATGGACGTCGGCGCTCCGGACCAGGAATTCGGCATCAGCATCGGCCCCGTCTGCTTCTTGTAACCCGGACGCCCCCTCCCCTCCTCCTCCCCCCCTTCGACGCGTGACAGGAGAGAGTAATAATAATGATAAATAATAATAAAAACCCAAAAAACAGCCAAAAAAAAGAAAAAAAAATACAAAAAA